CTTTATGTTTGTGTACTTCGGTGAGGAGTGACCACACCTTTGAGGTTTATAGTACAAGGATCAGTAAGCTCAACATCAATAATCAGTTCTTCGTGCGAACGATTCTCACTCCCCACTCTTGTCCTTCATTGGATCATTACTTAGTCAGTTTAGTTACCAGGATCCTTGGAATCTAAACTTACTAAAGCGACGTTCAATTTCCCAGGCCTCAATTCTTATTTACAGCTGCTAATTGTTCTCAGCCTCAGGCAATACATTGGCTTCAACTGGGAATTCGTTCTAGCATATTTTCTGCCTAATTAATTTCACTCTGCATTCGACCAGTGGGTGAGTCTTTACTTTAGCAAGTACACTTTGCAGCAGATCATCCACCAATGGGAAATTTGTGCACGCAGAGATAAATTAAATTAGAAGCCAGTATTAGCAGCGATTTTAAAACTATTAAGGCACAGGAGAAGGTTGCTTGTTTCAAAAAGCGGTGCTACTTTGGCCGTTTTCGAGTCGTTTCAGATCGTTTCCTGTCGGGGGAACCAATCGGCGCTTGCAGGCCGGCGAGCACTCCGACTGGCTGGCCTGACCAGCTGATTCTCCATTTAACGTCTGTGAATGGTTGAATGGCTGACCAATGGCATTGACGCACATGCCGTTAAGACAGGCGAGACACTTAGTGTTGTCGTGCCGGCCAGTGGGATGGCCTGGTCGGCGTCGTCTATCAAATTGCTGATCCCAGAAGATGACATTTTTGTAAAATGTGCGGTGGATGTTGACAAAAAGGTTGCGTAGTACCTTTATTGGGAAAAGGATAAGGGAATAAAGTTAGATACCTTTTTGTAGGAGAGGAAATCGCATCTGTGAGAGCGATGCTCTATCTTAGTCCGAATTTTCCTGGGTAGCTAATGGTAGCGATCCGATGCAAAATTATACATTGAGGATGCACAAGTTTTGGAAATTAAGACTTTTCTCCCAGAGCATTTTAAAAGGCCTTTTGGGGAGTAGTTGTTAAATTTTTTTACAGACGAATGGATAAGAACTAGTAAGTTAAATTTGAACAATTTTTGTGATTTACCAATTTAGTAAGTCTTCGAAAGAATGTTGTATTTTAGGTGACTAAGCAGAACCGGTGAACCGGCGTGCCTCACTGCCAATGTTATCATTAGTGCACTTTTACACCAACTATTTCAGCACCAGCGAAACTTACTTTCGGGTTTTCATCGCCACGACTATTTTAGAAGTGAGCTCTCGGGGGCAGTAAGATTTGGCGTGCTCACATCTGTTTCTTTTTGGTATCCACATGAAGCAACGCACTATCTACTCATTCTAAGTGGCCTTTCAGGCGAAAGGCACTTTTTTTCTGTTTTTAAATTGAACGCTCTGCTCACACAGAACAGGACAAACGGAAGTAGACATATTTTAATGCCTAACTAGAAATTGTTTGGGACCTGTGAATTGCATGAGCGGGTTGCTATCAGAGGGTTGTTTTATGAGCCATTCTCAATACAAAAGGTTATTCGTACATCTACCTTCTTTCGTTGGGAACCTATGTAAGGTTTTAAATTTCGTTTGCAGTAACAGACGTGGGAAGTGTTACTATGAATAAACAACAGGTCAAAGTATCAATATGTACGTTTTATGTATAACGGGATATAAAATTCAAATTCAGACACATTCCGAGAGCGGCTACTGACAGATTGCACACACAAAGTTGGATTCTGTATCAGAATGTAAGTTTAATTTGAGGTCGTTTTCCGAAAATTAAAGGGTGACTTTTTGCTATTAAGTAGCAATTAAAAACTGTGCCGAGGTGCATTAAGTTGCGTTGCTGTAACTCCTTAAAACTGGGTTTTGTTAATGTTTTTGGTTTTTAGCATTATTTTAATACGCACCCTCTTTAGGGATAAATACAGCGAGGTTAAGTGTTTGCCCTCGGGTGCTATCAACAAAGAGGAAGGAAAACACACAAGTTTCATGCAACAGGCATCCATAAATACGAGCTGAGAGTAAGGGTTAAGGTAGGACAACTGCACCCGAGGTTGTTCAAGGAAAATACTTCGGCTCCACCACGAGTGAAATTAATGGCGCATCTCAAACCACGAAATGCCACTTTCCATAAAAGCATTTCAATCGT